ATGATATATTAAAAGGTAGATGGTATATTATTAAAAGTAGCTATAGGCCCATACTGTCCCATGTAGTATGAAGCACTTGATATGTGGCTAGTTTCCACATGTTGAAAAAATAATATTTTAGATATATTGCGTTAAACATACTATTAAAATTAATTTTAAACTTTTGCCTTTCTTTTACATGGATACTGGAAACTATTCATATGAAATTACATATGAATCTCACATTCCATTTTGTTAGACAGCACTGCTCTAGAACCAGAACATCTAGGTTCTTTCTGGTTCTGCACCCCCTAGCTATGTGAATGGCTCACTGCACTTTTCATCTGTAAAGTAGGGATTTTATCAATATGCTCACAATGCCTCCTGCACATAATAAATTGGCCCTATGTGCTTAAAAAGGGAAAATCAGCAAGATTAGTGACTATAGAGGTCAAGAAGGAGTCTAGGGTAAGTGCAAAGTGTAAGCTTGGATGACTAGAAAGCTTATTGACAGCAACATAAGAAATGTGAAGAATGATATGAATAAAGGTAATTCACTGCAGCATTATTGGTAATAGCAAGAGATGATAAACAACCTAAACCTCTGTCAATAGAATGCTGGTCACATTTATCTTATACACTAGATGAGAAGAGAGGTTTTGTGTACTGATGTGGAACTGTGTTGATGTATACTTTAAAAGGTGCAGAACACCAATAGAGTAGCGTGTGTTTAAAAAACTAGAGAGAGGCTGAATATACTTATTTCTTGAATGAGTAATAGGAAACTTTCTGACTCTAAAGAGGAAATGTAATCGACTGGGAAATAGGGATGAAAGGAAATGACTCTTTGCTGTATCTTCCTTTGAGTTTTGAGTCTTAGGAATGTAATATATGCATATAAATAATGACAATTTCAAGAAAATTAGTTTTTAATTGGGCAGCATGAAGGGAGAGTTAGTTACTTGAGAGAAGATGACCACAGAGAGAGGTCATGGATTAGCTCCCAGTAGCTGCATGAAATGTTGGGTTATGGGCCAAATAAGCATTGAATTAATTATCGTTCTCACCTCTGATTTTAAGAAAAGGCAAATGAATGTAATTAAATCACTGCTTTAATGCACCAGTTAATAAAATTCAACTGCCTCCTTATTAGGTTCATGTGAGCAATTTCTAAGGGAACCAACTCTCTCCCTTCTGAGATCATGCTATCAAGCGAATCAATTAAGAAACAAAAGACCCAGTCCTTTGCTTGGAAACCATAGTCTAGTTATGAAAATAAGTATGTAAACTCATGATAAAATGACATGGTTGAAGCCTATAAAGAAGGATAAACTGGGAAAGCTACTACTTCTTGGTGGGAAGGACTGGTGAAGGAGATAATTTTGTATTAGATCTTGAAAGATTAATTTAGGAGTGCTTGGAAGTGAGTGGTTCACGGAGGGGGGGCGGCGAGGGGGAAGAGGAAAGGAGGAAGGCCTGTGTGACCTGAAAAGCCTGGAATCACTTCCCAGGCTATTATGTGGGCACAGTAGTGGGAGTTGAGAAGCAAACATTAGATTTGAAGGTATACAAGGACCTTAACAACTCTCACAAATTGTGGCTCTATTCTGTGTCTCTCTGACTATGAGTGAAAACTTTCATATGTAAACAAATCTGCAATGGGCAAAATTGACTCTGGAGAAATAGCCCAGTGGGCAGCTTGCATGGTGACTGGACTTTGGGCTTTTATTTCTATATTTTTGTTTCTGTATCCTCAGCAACTAGCCTGTGTGGTGACACTGTGTGCCTAAGTGGAATGTCATAGAATCACTGCACACTGGGTGTCCCTGTGTGGCCTATGTGTTGGGACTGCTGCCTGTGGGCAAGCAACTCACTATTCCCAAGTGTCTTATTCTAGGACAGCATGGGAGAGTGTGAAGAATTTACTTGACAAGCTCAATCTAAAGGGAAACCTATTTTCCTGAGTGGAAACTATATCCCATGGGGATTCAGGGGTCTTGGCTTGATGGTACCTCCAGACTGTCATGACTCTCATATACTGATCATGACTGGCCTGTCATCACCTTTGCCGTTTGCACCAGCTGGTAAGATTGTGCCAGTATTCTCACCCGGCTCTATTTTGCCAGTTACCCATGTCACATAGCTCATTCTGTGGGTACTTACACTAGGTAATCATTACATAGCTTTCATTTATAATGTCAATAACATCACTAAAATAGAGCAATTTTTTCTAGCACAAATAGCCTGGGGTAGTAATCCCAGCTAGATACCTTGACTCAAGCTTCATGCTTATTTATTTCCCATTATGATTGGGAGAATTCCTCTTCTACCACGGGCCAGAAAGATATATATATATCTTTTTTCTATTTTGAAGTACAAATATCAGCCAACTCTTTTATGTGCCAGATATTACGTTAAGTGCTATGAATAAATACTATGATCGATGAAGTTTCTTCTCTCAATAAACTTACTGTCTAGTGGGTGGGAGGAAGGGATAGAACAGATACAAACAACAAAAACATTAGAAACTTTAGTAGGTATTGGCCCTCCTTGGTGGCGCAACGGGCTAATGTTCAGCAGTGCAAGCAAGCTGCAACTGGTTCAGTAGAGTTCTATTCCCTGCCCCAGAGGTGACCCACATGGCACGGCAGACCTCCCTGACCTGCCCGCTACTCCCCTCGGCAGTGTACTTCATCTGTCTGTCTGTTCTGCTCTCCACCCTGTCCTGTTGAATCCTCTCACCACCCCTCTGGCCTGCACCCCAGCTCTGTATGCTTAAATAAATAAATCTTTCTTAAAAATGAAAATTTAATAGCCATCGTGATGGGATCTTGATAGAACTCTATTTGGATATTCTAGGAGTTGCACAGGGGCCAGTTTTTCTGACCATGGGAGCAGGGGAGTTCCAGAGCTAATGACATCAAACTGATGGGGAGTGTCGACTAGGTAGAAGGACAGAAAGTGCAATTATTCAAAGTAGTGTTAGGAGCATGAGGAGCAAAGGCACTGAAGGGAAAGGAGTGGATTTGGTATGTTTGTGGAAATGAATCTGTCCCATCAGGACAGAAAAGGAGAGTTGGGGCAGGGGAAGATCATGGTAAGCCTTTGACTGTAGGCCTACTTTAGCCTGCAGGTGTAGAGGTAGAGGGGTCTCCTTTTCAGGGAGAATAGAACATGGACTGCTTGGAGGTCAAGTAAGTAAGGCTGAGGTACGAAAGGAGCTTGGCTGTGCTGACCCAGGAGGCAAAGAGCTACATTTACTGAGTCTGGGGAACACGGGCCTAAAGGCACACTGCATCAATAAATTTGAACTTGGTCTTTAATGCAAAGACAGTGAAACAGGGAATCATATAATCAGCCACATATTTAATAAGAGTCACACTAGCAAATGCTTGGTGAGTGATCAAAAGGGGATAAGCTCAGAGAAAGGCAGGAAAGCCAGTGTTGGGGTTAGTCTCTGGTGAGTAGTGCTGATGGCCTGGAATTTGGGGTAGTGGAATGTGGGAAGGGAGGCCACATTTCACTTTCTGTTTCTATTCCAAAACTGAACAAGCAGAACAGAAACTACATCTTGACACTTAGGGTGTCAAGTTTTTTTGTTTTTTGTTTTTTTTTCTTTGCTTCCATATCTGGCCTCTACTTATACTATTTTTGGTATAAAAATCTTTCTGGGGTTGGGGGAGGCTCTTCAACCCCTTAGCTTGGCTGCTTCTGTGGCATCCTGTATATCCCCAAACATAGTTGTCACCACATTTTCTCACAGTTATGGGACACATTCTCCTGTGTCCTGTGCTACACTGTACAATTCATATCAGGGATGCTTTTCATTATATTGCTGTGTCCCTGGTACCTCATACCTGGAACACAGTAGATACTCTGTAATTTGTTGAGTGGATGAATAAATGAACTACTAATTCAGATAGGTTCTCCATATTTTAGCAAAAGGGCTTAGAACTTTTCAATTTGTTCCAAGATATTGATTGTCTTCTTTCCTGCCCTCCCCCATCAACTCCCAGTACATAGTGTGCTAAGTTTGGGAACAATAAAAAAACAGTAAATAAAGTAATCGTATTTTTGTGATTATTTTAGTTCTTAAACATATCACTCAGTACTTCAACTAAATCTAAGATCCTAAGAGTCATATTTTAAACAGACACGGATAAATAGCATTCTCTAGCTGTTGATCTTCAAGCCAAGTTGCCCAGTTTGTGGGCCTCCTCCCAAGCCCTATTTGCAGCATCCCCTGGAAGGCCCTAGTCCCTTCCAGTCCATGTCCTGCCTTCCAATGAGCTGTGGGACCATAACCTTGGGTACTGCTGCACTCCTTTGTGCTTTGAGGACATGAGCTTCAGTGTAAGTTTTCCCATTAAGACATTTGACTTGGTTGATACAGACATTTTAGACATTTGCATTCTTTCCAGTCAGCCGTGACTGGGCTTACCCCTCTCCTCGGGTGAGTCAGGACTAGAACCAGTGCCTCCTCCTCCTCTCCCTGGTGTGACAAAAGCCTTGCAATTCATCCCTGACTGCACATGGTGTTGATCTGGGGCTGTCTTCTATGGTCAGTCTTACCTGCATGCCAGGTGATAAAGTTGCCAGGAACAGAGATGGTCATGGTTGTTCTCCTCCCTACTCACCAGCACTGGGATGCTGTGTGATTGTGAAAACAGAAGACAGGCGGTGACTACTTCCAACAGTGCTGTGAAAATACTTGCGACCTGCAAGACTACCAGACCCTGGAGGTCCACACGGGACTCACACAGTGACTTAAATCCATAGAACTTAAAAAACGAAACAACAATAACAATAAATGATATTTGGTGGGTGCCACTGCACACCATTTGGAGTATCTTTTCTCTAAGTGACTGACTCATTTTGTTGACTGAATCTGACAAGGATTTTACCCTTTTTAGAGGCAGGAATGAAATGTCACGATGCTACTTGTTTGGGGTGTTTATAGCAGGTTTTAAATTCTCCTGAATGTTCTCACCATTCAGCTTATTTGTTTTCCCTCCTGTTAGGATTCCTGGCAGAGGGTCTCTTTCTCAGTCTTTCTGCGTCTGGTCTAACTGAAGACGGAGGTTATGAAGTCGATCCTGGATGGCCTTGCAGACACCACCTTCCGCACCATCACGACAGACCTCCTTTATGTGGGCTCCAATGACATTCAGTACGAAGACATCAAAGGTGACATGGCATCCAAACTAGGGTACTTTCCGCAGAAATTTCCTCTTACTTCCTTTAGGGGAAGTCCGTTCCAAGAGAAGATGACTGCGGGAGACAACGCCCAGCTAGTCCCAGGAGACCCGGCAGCGAACATTACCGAATTCTACAACAAGTCTCTTTCCTCCTTCAAGGAAAATGAGGAAAACATTCAGTGTGGGGAGAACTTCATGGACATGGAGTGCTTCATGATTCTGAACCCCAGCCAGCAGCTGGCCATCGCTGTGCTATCCCTCACGCTGGGCACCTTCACGGTTCTGGAGAACCTGCTGGTGCTGTGTGTCATCCTCCACTCCCGCAGCCTCCGCTGCAGACCTTCCTACCACTTCATCGGCAGCCTGGCAGTGGCAGACCTCCTGGGCAGTGTTATTTTTGTCTACAGCTTCGTTGACTTCCACGTGTTCCATCGCAAAGATAGCCCCAATGTGTTTCTGTTCAAACTGGGCGGGGTCACAGCCTCCTTCACCGCCTCGGTGGGCAGCCTGTTTCTCACCGCCATTGATAGGTACATTTCGATTCACAGGCCCCTGGCCTATAAGAGGATCGTCACCAGGCCCAAGGCGGTAGTAGCCTTTTGTCTGATGTGGACCATAGCAATTGTGATCGCAGTGCTGCCCCTTCTGGGATGGAACTGCAAGAAATTGCAATCTGTCTGCTCAGACATTTTCCCACTCATTGACGAAACCTACCTGATGTTCTGGATTGGCGTCACCAGTGTGCTGCTGCTGTTTATTGTGTATGCGTACATGTACATTCTCTGGAAGGCCCACAGCCACGCAGTCCGAATGATTCAGCGAGGCACCCAAAAGAGCATCATCATCCACACGTCGGAGGACGGGAAGGTACAGGTGACCCGGCCAGACCAAGCCCGCATGGACATTAGATTGGCCAAGACCCTGGTCCTGATCCTTGTGGTTTTAATCATCTGCTGGGGCCCTCTGCTTGCGATCATGGTGTATGATGTCTTTGGGAAGATGAACAAGCTCATCAAGACTGTGTTTGCCTTCTGCAGCATGCTGTGCCTGCTGAATTCCACCGTGAACCCCATCATCTATGCTCTGAGGAGCAAGGACCTGAGACATGCTTTCCGGAGTATGTTTCCCTCTTGCGAAGGGACTGCACAGCCTCTGGATAACAGCATGGGGGATTCAGACTGCCTGCACAAACATGCAAACAACACAGCCAACGTCCACAGGGCTGCAGAGAGCTGCATCAAGAGCACTGTCAAGATTGCCAAGGTGACCATGTCTGTGTCCACAGATACATCTGCTGAGGCTCTCTGAGCCTGATGCCTCCCTGGCAACACAGGAAAAGAAATAACACCTCCCCCCTCCCCTTTTTTTTAAAAGTTCAAAATCCAAAAGAGTCTGTCATCTCATCGATTATATATTTTTTTATGTTTACCATGTGCAGTGAAAAGGTGGCTATCACCGTGATCAGTTATCAGTTCTCTAACATTTCAGTAGTGTAGGTACTCAAACTCACTTCTCCAGAGGTTTGTGCTGAAGAAAGCGTGTGATTTATGTGACTGAAAAGTCCTTCAGAGTCTTAATGAAACAGGAGAGAAACCGTTGGCTATAGAATTTGACATCCAAGTAACCATAGAAAAATGCCATCATATGAGTAATGCCTTTTAACCACAACTTTCATTATAATGTGAAATGTATTTGTTAATCAGTATCAGAGATGGCCATTTTTACAAGTTAGAATACTTACAGTAGAGCTATTTTGTACAACGTATCGTGTCCTGTGAGATGTGTATCAGTGTTTACTATGTGTTATTTATATTTGTCTAGTACAGTAAAACTGAAAGGTAGATTTATGTGAGAACAGTGGAATACAAACAGTAGACTTATGTCAATGTGATCACTTTTTAACAAAATTTTGCCCTTGATATAACATTAGAAACCTTAATATTTTTTCAAATCTATTTAAATTTGACACTGAAATAACCACAAACGTTTATTTTTCTGTTACAAGAACAAGTTGAAGGCTTTCCAAAGTATTGAACAGAATTCATTGACACTTAGACATTTACTAACCCTGCATTTTCATCGAGGACATTTATTATCTTCTGGACTATCACTGTTCTGTTGAGTGATGGATTACAATCAGAACAGAAGAAAGAAGGCATATTGACTTCTTTGGCTGACATCTCTGACTTTCTTTAGTCTTTAGCTAATACTGGACTTCTTAAGACAGCATGTGTCGATCTTAATGTATATTGTTATCACCGTGCAATTGTTGTTTACTTGAAGAGTATTGCATTCCTAAATTCCAGGTTTAAGTAAATTTCATGCCTGGGTGGCCAAACAAGTCTTCATTTATTTCTTAATTGAAAAGAAGTATTGTCTGGATCAGTACAATTATAATGTGTGTGAATGTGAATATAAATGTGTGTATGTGTGTGTTTCTATTCTGTAACTGTTACAGTAATGTCATAAAGTGAGAAAACTGTGACCAAGTGTAAGCTGTCCCACTTGCTGCACTTTTGCACATAAATCAGTTTCTAAAATTGAGTTCTTCCAGAAAGCTTAGTGATAAAAATACTGACCGCAAACATTCAGAAACTCCCCATACGAGACTGGGTCAACTATTACTAAAATGACCTGTAGGTATTCCATCATACCAGTACTGATCAAGAGATAATCAGTGATGAACATTCAAGTGAAGGTCCATATTTAGTGCTAATGTCATGAAATGAGAGTGTTTTGGTTTCTGAGCACCAATATTGATCAGGACCCTGAAAATGTAAGTCATTACAAGGGATGCGATTCTGAAAAACCCCAGCGTTAACATTTTTCGCTCCTACGTGTAGGCAGATGTGATTCCCCTCTAAGGAGCACCAAACACTGCCTGCTGAAGAGAGACGAGCAGGTCTGGCCCGTGTGGCTCAGGAGACAGGTCCGGCAGTGGGAGATACAGAAGAGGGCAGTGAGGAGGTGCCCCACCGTGACTGAGACTTAGATAGATAGCACGTGACTGCTTCTGTACTTCACCCAGATGCCCTTGGTGAAAATCCAGCAGTCTGCTTTATCTGGGTAGGTTTGGGCTGAGGAAGAGCTCCCTCACTGATCCAGGTTAACAAGATCTAATGCATAAAAGTTAGCACAGCTTTCTTGCTTCCTATGTCCAAGTCTCAAACTTCTTATTGGTATCAAGGGTGCTGAGAATTAGACCCTTCCCAGTGAGTGTTGATACTGCCTATGCAGCCATTTGGCCTTGACTGGTTCTACTCACAATCTTCTCAGTACACAGATAAAGCACAGCTTCTGCAGGACCCAGAGGCTGGCATGATATGAAGTGAGTTGGAGAGTTAGCTTTTTCTTAGTGACTCGCTGCCTGTTGGGGCAATCTCCTTTTTTTCGTAGCTTATGGTCTAAGACTGAACAGACCCGTAGACCATTAGTTGTTTGTCTATAGAGCTCAAGTCTACCTACTGGTTCCCTCCCTTTACCTCTCTGTGATCTGCAGAAGAGGGCTCAGGGTGCTAGCAGATCAGTACGATCTCTCTAAAAGGAGAAAAGATTATAAAAAACTCACCATAGTCTAGTTGCCATTTAACAAATTTCAGTGTTTTGGCCCCATATCGCTCTGAATATAACCCACATGTCTCAGAGCTCACCAGGCAGTACAACTCTCTTCTCACAGCTATGACAATCTGGTGAAATTCTTGTAATTGGTAGAACAATTCCAGGATTCATTTACGAAACTGTACTTGTGTGTATGCAATGTAGATTTTATAGCGTGTTTGTGCTTTCAAGATCTAAATCATAGATAATATATTAAGGGACAATGGGGCTGACAGCACTAAACTTGGTGCTTACTGATATTCTAAGAAATATCTGTGAAAAATCATGTAAGTGTTGCACCTTCATTTTAAAACGTTTATATTAGGTTGATTTACTTTGACACTTTCAATATCATTTCCAAGACCAACTGACTCAAATGTATTCCCCAATGAGTATACTCATTAGAAGCACCTTCATTAGAATCATTAATTAATTAGTCCCTTAATTAGACCCATTAACTTAAATATAATTTAGATTTCAATACATTACATAAGGTCTGAGTTCAGAGTCGTCTACTTTCCTCTGAGGGTGACACGTTTGTTCTGACCTTGTGTTTCACCATCTCTCATGTTTTCAGAAAGGGCCAAATTCCCAACTTGCTTAATTTCTTCAGGGTAATAATGAATTTTTCAGCTCTAAGCGAGCAGATTCATTTAGACAAGGAAAGCTATCTCCAGGGACCACTAATATTTCACTACATGTGAAATACATATGAGAAACTGCTCTTGGAGAAGCTGCAGACAGATACCTATACTTGAGGTGATTCCCAAGACACCCCTGTCTCCCTGAGTCAGGTCTATCTAGCAGGTCTATCTAGTGTGGCTGCTTAAGCCACACTTCAGGAGAGAGGCCCAACCACCAGATGAGAATTAGGCCCTGGATGAGTAGCATCCTAGTTACTGTCCTGTTAATTAATTTCTGCCATTCCATGCCTGTAAAAGAGACCACCAATATCACGCTCAAAATTAGATTTCTCACAATCTAACTGTACATTTGTATGATATTTTTAAATCTCCTAAATGCTGGGCAATGGCTATCAACAATTGTCTTGCACTGGCCTTCTGATGAAATGTTAACAATGCCTATTGTAACATAAACAAGACATTTTATCTACTGATTTGGGCTGAATGTATGTAAATAGGTTTCAAAAAAAAGTCAGATGTTTAAGCAGTGGCTTACAAATCAGTGATTTTCAGATAGGAGAGTTTCTTTACATTGCTGTGGCATCCTAAAAGCTATCTTCACGTAAACTTAGTATACTAGGCCTGCTGGGGATTGGAGTCCCCAAGAATGGAAAACTTTCCTTGTAATAATATGAATCAAGATACCAGCTTATCTGGATTCTTATTTCCAATGTTTCAAGTGGAAAAAATAACTATTGTCTGTAAATTTAACATTATTACTTTTCCTCTTAGAAGAATATTGTATTGTTAGATGTTTGTTGAGCTGATAACATCTTTGCAATTGCTGCAATATCTTCATTAGTAATCTGTATAATACTTTGTACACAAGTACTAGTAGGTTGTTATTCAATGTAGCTTCAGTCATTAAATTACTATAGTAAATTAGTACTTCTGTAATATTTACAATGTATTAAGCCCATATTTTATTTCAATGATGTAATTAAATTGTTACTTATTCAAAGAGAAAACATCCCATCATGTTTGTTGTCTGAAGTTACCTGGAATCAAATAAAAATACTAGATTATCATGAAGAACATAAACTGTCTTTGAAGTTTGCCTTATTCCAATCTGATACAGAAACACTCAGGATTTAAATTCTAAAAGATGGTTGATCAAGTGATTTTTTCCTAACAGCACTTACAACTTTGAGACATGGGTAGAGGTCAGATTAATATAATCATTCTGAAAAAGGGAAAATGTGCAAAAAGCATTAATTTACATAGCATAGGTAAAAAAAAAAAAGTCTTCCATGCATTTCTAAAGTACTATTTAAAGTACATTAGAGTTTAATGATTTTTTTTAGTAAATTAAAATGTGTACTATTCACAATGTACAAACTAAATTTAGCAGATTTGAGTAAATAACTCTAGAGAATTTATAAACATCATGTATTCTGAACATGAGAAATGGCTTTTAAATTTTATAATGAGGAATAAAGCATTAGAATTAAATTTTGTGGGCCCTCCCTGGTGGTGCAACAGGTTAAAGCACAAAACTAAGAAGCTAAAGCCACTTCAGCATGAGTTCAATCCCCAGACCCCGGAGGTGACCACATGGTGCAGCAGACCTCTCCTGACCCACCTGCTGTTCCCTTCAGCAGTGTACTTCATCAGTCAGCTTGTTCTGCTCCCCACTCTGTATCTGGTGAATCATCTTACCCACCACTGCACTACTCACTTGAACCCCATTTCTGTATGCATGCATAAATACATCTTTATAAATTGTATACTTCCAGCAAAAACAAATGCCTGGCTCTTAGATTTTAAATTTTACCCTGGTCTTGATGGGAGTAAGATACTTTATGATCTGCAGTTAGCATCTTGGAACTCAAAAAATTTTCCCATCATCTGTATGTGCATCCATCTATATTTAAACATACATTTAGATGATGTAACAACAGAAAATCAGTAGAGATGTGCAGAAGCTCCATGATGCCCCAGGGATGGTTGCAACTGAAAAAGGTCCATTCTCACATTTGGAATCTTCTGTGACAATAGTTTCCTTTGGGTTGAAGATGATACATTTTTGACTCCACACAATATACATCATTGTCATCCCTCAACTCTCTGTCCTAGAAATGCTGGTAGGGGATTTTTGAAATGTATGTGTCTTACTCACTGAGGAGGAGTTGAACATAGCAGAATGGACAGGCGTCTGAACATCACAGAAGTGCTGGTCATCAGGCTGCTGTATTAACCACTTCAGATATGTCTGGGTAGGTAAGGTTAAATTGTGACATACAAGGTTATAGGAAAGATAGCTCCCTGTGACACCGCCAGAGGAAAGAGAATGAAAAAAATTGACAACTGGCATGAACAATTAATGTCATAGTTTTAGGTTATAAGAACTGAGATAATGATTCTCCCCATTTTAGAATATAGTACATGGTTCATTGCTGGGAAAATGGGCCTCAAATATTTGTAGAACTAGTGAGTGGTTTTTCTCTGGACACTAAGAAGTGGATAACTAATTCAAAACTTCAATTGTTTAATAACAGCAACAACAATAATAAAAGAACCCTAATGACTTCGGATAAAGCTATGCATTTAAAATGTTCATTAACCCTTTTACACAGAATCTTGGCTGACATCAGACTCCGTGACAAATATCCAGCTGCTGAGTTAGGGAGAATATTGGAGAAGAAATTATTAGACCTAAGATGTAGTG